GGGACGGGGCGGGGCCGGCGGGGAGGGGGCGGGGCCACGTGACCCGGGCGGGAGAGCACGTGACCACAACAACCCTTCGCCTATAGCGCCGGCCCTATAGGGGTGTCCTGCGCGTGCCGCCACCTGTAGGGCGCGGATCCCTCCACTCCCCCCCCACCGGGGACACCCTATCCAGGACTGTAAGGCCACTCCCTTTCCTATAGGGAGTTTTCTGTAGGCCCCTGCCTGCCCTAGGGGGTCACCCTATAGCCCCTTTCCCCTATAGGGAGCGCTCTGCAGCCCGGTTTGACCTACAGAAGGGCCGTAAAGACCCTCCGCTTGCTACCGAGAATACCCTATAGCTCTCCCCACCCCCTACAGGGGATGTCGTAGGACTCCATCTGACCTATAGGGGACCGTAGGCCTCACCCATGGCCCACTAGGGAGCATTCTACAGGCCCCCACCCCCTTTAGGGGACACCCTATGGTGCTGCCCACCCTATAGGGGATCCTATGGATGGAGTGAGGCCATGCAGCCCCCGCCCCATACCCTCCTTCCCCCTATAGGGGACAACCAATGGCTCTGTTTGACCCTCGGAGGAGCGCAAGGCCCCTCTGTCTCCTATAGGAGACATCCTTCAGGCCCCTCCCACCTATAGGGGACACCCCATAGCCTCCCCCGCCCCCTATAGACACCCCATAGCTGGGGCCCAGCTAGGACTACAACTCCCATCAGGCACCGCGCGGGGAGGGGGGCGTGGCTGAGAGAGGCCGGGTGCCATGGCGACGGCGCACCGGGCGCATGCGCAGAGCGCAAAGCGAGGGCGTCATTCCCTCCCCCTTCCTCCCACACCCGGCGCATGCGCAGGAGCGCCGAGCTGCGGCGGGAGGGTGGCTTTCCGCGCATGCCCGGCTGTTGGCGCATGCGCAACTCGCCTCGGCCCCGCCCCGCCCGGCCCCGCCCCGCCAGTCGGTGCGTGGCCGCCGCGCCGGACGGACGCGCTTGAGCGGGTCTCCGCGCTCGTCGCCATGGCTGACCCCACTACTCAATCCCCCTTCGTTTCTTCATCCTCATCCTCCTCCTCCGGTCAGTCACAGCCCCAGCTCGGAGGCTGCGGGGCCGCTGGCTCCGCCTTCTGCGCCGGTAAGGGCCTGGAGGGCCTGGGGTGCCTGAGGAAGGGGGGCGGGAAGAGGCCTTTAGGGGGTAGGTCTGAGGTGAAAGAGGCCTTAGGGGGGCACATATGGGGGTGGGAAGACCTTTAGGAGGCAATTCTGTGGAGGAAAGAGGCCTTTAAGGAGCAGATATAGGGGAAAGAGGTCTTGGAGGGGTAGATATAGGGGAAGGAGGCCTATAGGAGGCAGATCTGGGGGGCGGAGGCCTTTAGGGGTGCAATTATGGGGGGGAGGTCTTTAGGAGGGTAGGTATAGGGGAAAGAGGGTTCTGGGGGGCAGATATGAGATGAAGTGGCCTTTAGGGGAGCAGATGTGGGGAGAAGAGGCCTTTAAGGGGCGGGTATACGGGAAAGAGGCCTTTAAGGGGGCAGATATAGGGGAAAGAGGCCTTTAAGGGGCGGGTATACGGGAAAGAGGCCTTTAAGGGGGCAGATATAGGGGAAAGAGGCCTTTAAGGGGGCAGGTAAGGGGGGCAGTGGCACATCCAGCCCTGCATCCTGCAGAAACGGGAGAAAAACATGTAGAAAAGGGGCTGTTGATTTTTTTGGAGGGAGGTCATTGTGTGGCCAGGCTGCTCCGTCCGTCCGCCCCAGGAGGGTGAGCTGGGGGGGGGGGCCCCCGGCATTTGGGGGGGGGGGGCCCTTTGCCCTCCCCCTCACCCCCGAGGCACCCCCTGAATGCCAGCGCTCGTTTCAGGGCACCCTGATTTTGCGATTACCGCCCATGTACCTTGATTCCCATGTTTTCACCCCAGTTTTCACAGTCAGATCCCACAGAGCCCCAAAACCCTGCAGTTTTGCCCCACATATCACCCTGGCAGTAGCAGGGGGAGCTTCCCTAGAGGTCCAGTGCCAAGGGGGAGGGAAGGTGGAGATTTTGGGGTGACACGATGCCATCTGTGCTCCAGCTGTTGTCACCTGGTGGGGACAGCTGCTGTGCCGGACTCCTGCCCCAAACAGCCTGATCAGGGTGGGGAAAATGGGGTAAAAACCCCCAAATTTGGTCAAAACCAGCGTTCGCCTGATGGTCTCGCGTCGAAGAGGCGGCGGCAGGTGACACAACATCTCCCCAAAAAAGGGAAACTGGAGGAAACCCTGTTCCCCTTCTGCGGTACAACCGGGTGCCCCAAAACCCCCGGGAACCCCCCTCTTTTGTGAGTGTGGAACCGCCGGCGCCTGACACACCCCGATTTGGGGTAAAACCCTGTGGAAAAGGGTACGCAGACTCCAACCGTGGGGGTTTGGGGGTGCTCAAGCCACCCCTCCCCCTATCTGCCTGTTTTGGGGGTGAAGAGGCAGCGAACGGTCCCATTTTGGGGGGGCGTTTACCCCAAAAAAACCATCAGCACCCCAAAAAGACACAGGACAGTGGGATGAAGCCTTGCTGCGTCGAAGTGAAACCCCCTCCCTGCTTCAGGAGGTGACACCCTGACCCTGATGGGTTTGGGGGGGGGGCTTGGGGGAGGGTGTTGGTTTTGGGGGGGCCCCCCCCCGGGGCACTGAGCTCTCACCCTCTATGTTTTCTTGCAGATCCCCCCGCTTCTTCCTCCTCCTCCCAGCCTGTCTCTCTCTTTGCGGCTTCACCAGGCAAGTCTCCCCCCCGCCACACTTTCCTGCACACCCCAGGAAGAAAAATGTCGAGGTGGAGGGGAAGGCTGTAACCGTAAAACGACCCCCTTGGTTTTGGGGGGGTCTCCAATGCCGGTTTGGGGTTCCCGATGCCACTGCGCTCTCCATCCGGGTGCTGCTGGTGGCTTGGGGCGGGGGGGAACGATGACAGACCCCAAAAATAGCCCCTGCTTTTGGGGGGCTTCGCCTGCAGCTCATTTTGGGGGGGGCAAAAGGGTCCTGAGATCCCCCCCTAAAATGGCAGCTGAGGCTGGAGGGGTGGTTTAAAACCCACCAAAAAATTGACATTTTTCTTTTCCTTTTTCCTTCCTGCTTATTAACAGAATTTCTTCTCCCTCTTTCCGGGCAAGCGCTTGCCCCAAGGCTTCATTCCCCCCGCCCCACGGCTTCATGCCTGCCCCATGGCTGTGTCCCCCCGCACATCGCCTCTGCCCCACGGCTGCTGCTTCTGCTTTGCACGGCCCCCCCCTCCCCCCCCCCACTGCTGCTGCTCACCCGGCTGAGGAGGAATTCGCCGTTTCTCGTTGTTTGGCCTCAAAAAAACCCAAGACCCGCCTGCGCCCGCGTCCCACCCGCCGCCGTCTGTGTCTGTGTGCGACCCCCCTGCCTGGATCCGGCCCTGAAATTTGGGGTGGAGGTGGGGGGGGAGGTGAGGAGCCCCAAAACACCCCTCCCAGCCCTGGAGGACCCAAAATTCTCCCATCTGGGCCCAAGAGTGGGCGGAGGGAGGCTGCGGCCACGCTGGGGTCCCACACCCTTTGGGGAGGGGGGGGGGCTGAATCCTGCCCCCCCTCATCCTCACTCCAGACCCAGTCCAGCTGTTTTTAGCCCCAAACCGAGGTCCCCAGCGGGACCCCCCCGCTTCCTGGTGCCAAACCTGAAGGTTTTGGGGTGTATTTGGGGAGGGGGGGGGAGCGTCCGACTGTTCG